TATAAAATAAAATTTTCATTTTTACCAATTTTGATTTGCAAGTATTGGATAACTACTTAAAAGGGTTAATTTTTAAATATATTAAATTGATACAAGAGTTCAATATTAAAACTATTTCGAAGAAAATTTAAATTTTAGGCCATTAAAATGGTTGGAAAATATAAGATGGTAAAAAAAAAAAAAAACCCTAAACACCTAGCCAAGCGCGTGGAAATAGAAAATATTGATCAAGTTCTGGTCCAACGGGTATTTTTCTTTATTTTGGGAAGTAGGTATTTTTAATTCTAGTACGGAAGACAATAAGAGGGTGACAAAGAAACTTCCAAAAAGAGTAGAAAAAACTGAAGAAAAATTGGAATACAAAAAAAGCCAAAAAGAAAACTCTGGGAAAGGAAGGGAAAAACAAAGGTCCATGGTGACAAAAGAAGAGCGTCCTCTGCTTTTCCATGGCCCCTCTCTCTCCTCCCTGTATTATAAAGGAATCAGAAATTAAGGGGTTCTTTTACAAAGGCACGCATGTTATGGTTTGCTTGAGAGAGGTCCAGATCTACGTTTGGCATTAAAAGGTTTGACTTGTAGACAAGCACAAGCAGCTATAGCTTCCCTTGCCTTGGCAGCTCTTCTTTTGAATACTCTTTTTACAGTGAAAGGTATCGACTTTGAAGAAAGGAGGATGCTTTAATTTGGTCTAAAGAACGCAAAATGGGCCCTTATAACTTAGGATTCATTGTTAATTACTAGGATTTTTTTTTTATGGGTTGTTGCTTCCTGTCATGTTTGTGGCAAGCATGTACCTGTTTGATATTTTGTCCAGCTGAAGGTGGGAGCTGGCTTTCAGCTGACTCTGTTTTAATACTGTACATACTCAGCGCATGGTATTTTTCTATTCTATTCGATTTAAATTTGTGTTGGGGTTCAAGGGTAATGTGATGAGTCCACGTGAAAGAGAGATGTGATGAGTCCATTGGTATTATTTAGTCCTGCATTTGAGATTGTTTTCTAGCACTTTTTTACATTATTTTTTATTTTTATTTTTATTTTATTTTTTGAATAATTTGTCAAGGAGAGGCTCTAACCCACCCATTATTTTTTTTTATTAAAAATGTTAATTTATTATAATTAAATTAATTTTATTGTTATTTTATTAATTTGATAATTATACCATGTAACAGCGGCAACACTCTGCGTAATACCAAATATGGGAGTAGTTTGTTATTTAAGAGTACATGCTGAATAATAACATTTGTTACACTCAAAGGTGAGGCGACTCTATTGCTATACTTTAAAATGTTATGGTTACATACATTTTTTAATATTATTTTTAAAAAAATTAATTTTATATAATTTGAAAGTTTTACTAATTTATATCTTAAGAGTATAATTTAAAGGCTCTGCCCATGGGCAAAGGGGATTTCCACTTGGATTTAATGGAAACATACTCCCGAGTTAAAAGTTCGAGTCGCAGGTGATCCCTCTTTCTCGTTCTCCTTTAGTATGATAGGTTTGATTATAATTTGTTCAACAAAAAAGAGAGTATAATTTAAAGTATAATTATTACACTTTTTAAAGTTAATTAATTTTAAAAAGATAATAATTAACCTTTATTTAATTAATTGTTTAATTAAAATAATAAACATGGTAATAGAAGTGAAATTAATGATAATTTTTGTAATTTTTAGTATTAATTAATGTAAAAAAACTGTATCCTTAAGTATAAGTTTGAAAAACCCATAATT